TTCCACTTTTTCCATGTTTTTATCGGTTCCTAATGTGCTTGTGCGTTCCGAGCGTTCGTCATCTTCAACGTCTTCACGGCCATCTTAAAAACTCTTATACCACTTGTAAACTCTTGTTTTACTTATAGCAGACTCACTATGGGCCTTTGTTAACATTTCACAGAATTTATTTAATTTTTTAAGCAAAATTGGATACCAAATTCTTTTATCCATCTTTTTTAACGAACGAAAATCGCCGAGCTCATAACCACGTCTAACCTTAGCGGCTGCCACAGACAAAGTAAACAATGAAAACATCTAAAGTTTTTATCATACTTCGGGGGCATGTATGTATGACAACCGGACCCTCCGAACCCGCGAAATTTAACAATTTCCGTTATTTTCTGAACACACCTCGTACGTTTCGAATTCCCCAGAAACTTTACCAATTTTGTGACACCAAAAGTCACCATTTGATGTTCTTTGATCTCTCTTGCATCGTAAAGCCCTAGAGTTAGGGAATCATTATCCAAGTTATTTACAGTTTACTTGATTTTTCGGTAATAATTCCCAAACATGAGAACTGCAGTTCTCTCCTTGTAGAAGTAAAAATAATCACTTTGTTGGGTACATACGGATATTGCCGTTAGGTTTTATAAAGAAAAATTTTGTACGCCACTAAAAATAATGTTTTGTGATTTTATTTCTAAACAAATTTTCCTCTTGCATTTTCTTTATATCTTTTTCCCTCTGTATCTAAAATTTTGTATCCCTATAAGATAAATATTTTAGTGATCAAAAGTTATTAAGAAAAATAAAAAAAACACCCTGTAACTTGAAAACGAAAAGCCGTAGAAATCAACCATTTACTTTTTTGCCCTTTATGTTTCACACTGTATTTATCAGTGAAACCAAAACATGCATTTTTTAGTAAAAAAAATAATAGTTTTATACTTTATTATACTAAAAAACTATCAACATTTAAGATGCCCACACAGAACACGCTATCCAATGGATATCCAATGGCTATCCCAATGTCCATATAACATCCATGCCTTTTACGATATCCATTGGATATCCAATGGATATCCATACTAGATGTTCAAAAAAAAACAAAAACATTAAAAATATTTTTTTCTTTTTTAAAATAGCCCCTTATAGGATAAATTTATGTAATGATTAATAAATATGATTTAAATCGTTATTAACCCAATTTCAACAAAGTATCTCTAATATATATCCAATGGATAACTAATGTATGTCCAAAGTATATCCACTGTACATCTAATGTATATCCACTGGATATCCACTGGATATCCAATGGATATCCATACTGGATGTTAAAAAAAACAAAAACATTAAAAATATTTTTTTCTTTTTTAAAATAGCCCCTTATAGGATAAATTTATGTAATGATTAATAAATATGATTTAAATCGTTATTAACCCAATTTCAACAAAGTATCTCTAATATATATCCAATGGATAACTAATGTATGTCCAAAGTATATCCACCGTACATCTAATGTATATCCACTGGATATCCACTGGATATCCAATGGATATCCATACTGGATGTTCAAAAAAAAACAAAAACATTAAAAATATTTTTTTCTTTTTTAAAATAGCCCCTTATAGTATAAATTTATGTAATCATTAATAAATATGATTTAAATCGTTATTAACCCAATTTCAACAAAGTATCTCTAATATATTTCCAATGGATAACTAATGTATGTCCAAAGTATATCCACTGTACATCTAATGTATATCCACTGGATATCCACTGGATATCCATACTGGATGTTCAAAAAAAAACAAAAACATTAAAAATATTTTTTTCTTTGTTAAAATAGCCCCTTATAGGATAAATTTATGTAATGATTAATAAATATGATTTAAATCGTTATTAACCCAATTTCAACAAAGTATCTCTAATATATATCCAATGGATAACTAATGTATGTTCAAAGTATATCCACTGTACATTTAATGTATATCCACTCGATATCCGGTGGATAACTGATATGGATATCTTGTATATATACTTGTGTGTATACATGTGGGATTTTGTGATGGTTTAAACTAGCATATGTAAAAAAACAACTTTACGGTAAATTGATTTTTTGCCAAGAGCTACGAAATTTTTAATTTTGAAATGTTCACTTTACCCATATAATAATATTTATATATTAATAATATTATTTCTGTTAATAATATGACTATGACAGTCTGCAATACAATAAAAAATTACTTAAAAAAGTCCCTTTTGTTTATTATTGTATTTCATAGTACTACGCACGCGCTGAATTTGAGAATCTTCAGTGTTGCCGGTTATAAGCAAAATAACTAAACGAAATATATTTCCGTACTTTATTAAGTTTTAATAAATAAATTAAATAAATTTAAAATAATTATTCACCACATTTATGTCAAATAGGTATACTAGGTATACTAATTAATTAAGTATTAAAGATTTAATAATATAACCGCCATTTTGATGAGCTTTCTGAAATTATTTAAACGTCTGACAACACTGCTGCCGAACAACACAGAAGATAAAGAAGCGTCCTTTTTCTATGGTAGCGTCCGTTAAATATGATGCCATGATTGTTAGGTACATCCAAAGGGTTTTCATGTTTATTTGCTTCATTCCACAGATTGTAAAGGTTCATTCGCCATCATTGCTATTTGTTATATGTTTGTCATAAAGTTTATTGCCAAGTTATTGTGTTTTGTGGTTATTTGTTTGAGGTCTCTAGTGGTAAGTGAATATTTTATTAATTTTCTAATCATAGTTATCATTTTAAATTGTATTGGTCTAAAACTAATACAATTTTAAATTAAATAGGTATATTTAAGTGCAATTTATAAAATTTCGGTTAGCATTGAAGGTAAAACATTAAAGGTGAATACATGCATGTATTTATATACCGTACCTTTATTTGCAAGCTATACATAGGCTCGAGGGTAACAAATGGGCTGATGGATTGGCCAAATTTTGGGGATCATAAGGAGACAGGTGAAATAGGCCCTAAATGATTAGGCTGATAAAAAGGCAAATGACAGCTGGAGGAGTGATGGCAAGCCAGAGACTTCACTTCTTTAGTTATATGTAGTTTTCTGTTCTATTTTATGTTTTCATAAAAATAAATATTTAAATTAAAGAATAAGACTTTTATTTTAAAACCCAATGTTATTTATTGAAAAGTAAATATCCATTGATTCACCATATCCAATACAGATGACAACCATATTGCATACAATACTATATCCACTGGGTATCCATTGGATATCCACACTATGTCCAGGAGGGTCGGACATTTATATATCCAATGGTTATCCATTGGATATCCATACAATCTCCATATTGAATACAGATTACAACCATATTGCATACAATACTATATCCACTGGGTATCCATTGGATATCCACACTATGTCCAGGAGGGTCGGACATTTATATATCCAATGGTTATCCATTGGATATCCATACAATCTCCATATTGAATACAGATTACAACCATATTGCATACAATACTATATCCACTGGGTATCCATTGGATATCCACACTATGTCCAGGAGGGTCGGACATTTATATATCCAATGGTTATCCATTGGATATCCCGGATATCCTATGTATATCCTGGATATCCATAAAAGAAATCCATTGGATATCCATTGGATGTAATTGTTCCGTGTGGGTGTATGTTGATTTGGTTTTGTATATTTTTAATATTTTTTTTAACTGTCTTGCTTTCCGTATGAGGCGCCGTTTGTGCCATAATTATGATTTATAAAATATAATTATTTGTAAAAATATAAATATTTTTTGTAAAAATACAAATAATTTGTTTGAAATATATATATTTTAACTCATTTTCTAAGATATATATTAGTTTTACGAAAATATATAATATTTTAACTAAATAATATATATTTAAAACAGTAATACTAATAATATAAACTCAATACTAATAATATAAACTAAGCTTACTAGACGTAACGCTAGGAGGCGCTGGCAGCTTTATTTAACTTGACAACGCAGCCTTTCTTTCATTTCATGTGAGAATTACAGTGGTGTATATTAAATAACTTTTTGCCGCACTTTGGCTTTTTGTTATTTATTATATGTTTAACTGGATGTTTATTGTCGTGACTCTCTTTTTAAACAACAATTTTTTATTCCTTAATTCTGGGCTACGCAAAACTATGTCGTCGATTTGGTTCCATTACTGCGGTTAAATTTTAAATGACCTATTAATCTGTTAGATTTTAATTTAAACTTATACCCAAGTGCTTTAATAATAATTATTACGTACCAGAGGTATTATTATTTTTAATGTATCTTCTAGTTTTATTTAATTTACACCACAGTAGGTAATTCCGACATGCAATTACAGACAGGCTGCGTTGCCAAGTTAAATAAAGCAGCCAGCGCCTCCTGGCGTTACGTCTTGTAAGCTGAGTTTATATTATTAGTATTAAAATTATATTATTAGTTCAACTGTCCAAATATATAAATATTTTAAATATATATTATTTTGTAAAAATATTATTATATTTTAGTAAAACTAATATATATGTTATAAAATAAGCTAAAATATATATATTTCAGATAAAATATTTATATTTTAAACAAAATATGTATATATTTTAGAAATTATTATATATTTTACAAATCATAATTATGGCACAAACGGCGCCTCATATTTCCGCTTTGCTGCCATAAGCAAACGCATACTTAGTTTGCTTGATCTAAATAAATATAATTATTGCGACTTGACAAAAAGGTTTTATATTATAATATTTTATGTAGGTACCAATTCATTATAAATTTGAAATATGATTAATTTCTTCCTACTTTCCCAAAGTATATTTTAAGCAACTACAATAACATCGTTGATTATTTACACGACCCGATCGATGAGGTCAATTAAACAATTTAATTTCTTATTTTATCTTTGTTTTGACTTACAGCAAACTAACACTATTTAATAATAAATACGAACAAAATTTACCATTAATGCTAGTAGAACTGCTAAACTACGCATGATGGTCAATGTTCACAAAGTTTTGTTATTTTCAATAACCGTATCCTTTAGCACAATCAAAACATTTTGAAAATTGACAAAGCTGCCCACATAGAACTTAAAAACCCGACATAAAAACATTACATGAGTTTCTCACGATGGAACAAAACCAACTGTCGGTTTACATATCTCATTTGTGTTCTTGACAAGGACGCCAAGTGTATTTTAATGTATGTTAAAAGAGGAAAGCATATCGGCTGCGTTTAAGTGGACAATAGGAAACAAATAATAAATGTTTGTATAGAAAGTAAGTTAGATGAGTTATTAATTGATTGTTTATTAAGAAGAAATTAGTGATTTTGTTATTGTTAATGCTAATTCTTTTATAATTATCGCTCAGACTGCAGTCGACTGATACGCTCAAACTGTTTTACATAGTGGTTTTGCAAGGACAAGCGATCATCTTAATCGTAACACTTTTTTATTTTTTTCTCTAAAAATTCATCTTGTCAACATAAAAATTGTTTTAAACATATTTTGCAATTAAATATAGAAATTTGGATTCTGAGCTATTATACATATACCCACTGGGTATTACCCAGGTAGTTGACTGTTGATTATTCCTAACATGTTCTTGTTAGGTCTATTTTACATTACATTAAATCGTACTTACCTACAAGCTCTTATCATAACGTCTCCCAATTTTATATAGATATATAAAAGTAGGTATCATAAAACATTTATTTTTTATGGCAAATCAATATAAAATTTCAAATCGCAAATTGTAATAATTTTAAATAAAACTAAAAAAACAAAAAGTACTGCATTTCTTATTTGACACACTATCAGTGACAGCGTGAACGACATAAATAATGTTTTAAATACCTGCATGCTCATGGGCGCTCCTGAAAATTTCTAAATAAAACTTTATCTGCAAAATATATTGGTACCTAAATAACAATATTAAGAAATTTGCATGTTTTTTAGCACTAAAAAATTAATTTTATTTAATTTAAAATTTTACTTATGAATGATAATATTGCCAGATAGTACCTACTACTGGTCTACCACTGTGAATAAATGAATTATAATATATTTAACCCGGAGCCAAGAGCCAAGGGCTTTCCGAACAGATAATAAAGAAAAAATTCCAATTGAAGATATATTCAACCGAGCAAAAGCTTCATTCTATATTTTTTACCATTTTGTTTTGTGAAAAGCGTCACCTAGCTTTAAGAAGGAAAAATAATAACAAACATTACAATGGCTAAAACAAAATTGCATTTGAGAAAAAATATGTTTGATAATTAATTTCACAATTTGTTTTACCACTTGTGTAATACTTCTCTAATCTAAAATTTTATGTACTAAAATAATTTGAATGTAGGTACAATGTACCTGGTTCATGTACAATATTCATTGTACAGTGTGTCCAGAAATTAGGGGGCCAAATTGACCATATGCAAGGAATGCGGTCGATGTTGCCAATGGTAAAAAAATAAAATTCCCTATTGGGAACATTCAATTATATTACGTTGGCCACACTGAAATTTTGAATTTCCCGCACAAACTGACATACATTCTAGTAGTTCCCAGAGATAAAGAAGGTAGTTCCAAAGTTTTATAATAAATTAAGGTGCGAATTTCAAATGTAGGAATTATTATTATTTATTATTATTAAAAAAAAGATGGAAATTAATTTAGTTTGTGCGGGAAATTCAAATTTTCAATGTAGCCAACGTAATATAATTGAATGTTTCCAATAGGGAATTTTATTTTTTTACCATTGGCAACATCGACCGCATTCCTTGCATATGGTCAATTAAACAGTACAATCTGCATAGAAATAAATCACTAGTTTGTACATGTTTCGAAAAATGCGAGTTACAGCTCCTCGAAGAGAGGAATAAAAGAAAGTTTTATAACTTATTGAAATTATTTTTTAATTCTTTGATATGCTGAATCTAGATCTAAAATCAATACTGTCAAAATTTAATCATATATTCATAGGTATAAAATTTGGGGGGAGCGGACAGGGGAAAAATTGCCCAAAAAAAGGTATTCGTGATGCATTCATATACTTTGTTTAGCATACCTATATAATATTTTCATTAAATATTAGTGGCAACCCATATTAAATGTTTATTAAAATCCAGTATATTTTTTAGTGGAATGTTAAAAATTTTCATAATTTCATAAAAAAATTAATACATTAATCCAGAGAATGTTGGGCTGTCTTCAAATGACCTATGATTAAATTTTCCAGTTTTTTGGTCTACTTGAAGCATGTCAAAATTACGAAAGTTACAAAAATTATGTCTTTATGTTCAAGAAAAAAAAACATTCTCTAAGCATTTTTTGATATAGGTTTATTAAACAAATTAGTGTTTTTTCCTATGCAGTTGCACTGTTTAAGTTAAGGACTCTTATAAGAAAAGTATAGTTTCGGGACACCCTGTATATTTTTTTAACAAAATACTTTATCTACTTATATTGCATAATATTGTTTTTTTTTGTGAATAATGTTAAACATTATAAATTCCCTGCCTAACAACGAAAATAAAAAACTCATTATTCAGTTATTAACCGATTTCAATATTCACTGTGATTTAAACCAATCTGGTTTTAAATGTTAAATAACATTTTAAATTGATATAAAGTGAGGTTAACCATTTGACAGATGTCAGATTTTATTTAATTGATACATCAAAATAATATATATATATATATATATATATATAGGTACATTTATAAAGTTTTAACAGTCATTTTCGCTCCTGGCTTTTGAACGACTTCTGCACTCAGAGAAATATCAAGTTATGAAAAGCATATGAAATTATATTTATTTAAATAATCGGGTAAATTTGATTCAAATAGAAAAATTTGTAGTTTTATATTCATTTACCAACAGTTTTACAATGTTTTGAAACACTTTTAAAGTGTACCCTCTTTAAATAATACCTATATACAAAAAGAAATCCATTTATTTCATTGCCTTTCTCAAAGTTGTTTAAAAAAGATATGTATTATACAATTGTTATGCACCTATTAATTTAATGGGACACACCAATGACGCCAAAACATATTTGAATCCCTTTGAATTATTATCGTTTTATAATAATAATAATAATAATAATATTCTTTATTGTACATAAACAAATGTTACATACAAATGGAGGACGGTTAGGTTTCCCTTTCTTCCACCGTCTCCGAAATTATAATAGTTATCAATTACAAAACTTTTAATAGTATTATTTAACTATAGAATAAACATGTACAGCGTAAGTTGAACAAAATTGAGTTTTTTAGAAAATTAAATATAAAGAGAAAGTACCTATACAATATTAAATATAAAGAAATTAAAGATATACGAGAATAAATTGTACCAACAAAAGGAAAATTATTAAACTATTAGCATTTAAAATAAACAAGGACCTATTGTAGATTTAAATAAAAATTTTTAGTAAAAATTAAAAAGCTCTTTTCACCCAATTTAATGTTGAAAAGAACCCTGTTCAATAGTTTTGACGCGACAAACACAAATGACCCCTCGAATTTAATACAGTTATGATTTGGAATATTAAAAGAGTTAGTTCTAGTATTTATCTCATGTATGTCAGATCGGCGTGTTAACAGACGGTATAAGTACAGAGGATTTTTATTTTTTATTAATTTATAAAGAAATATTGTTGTTAAATAGCATATTCTGTTTTCCACCCTTAATTCGTTTAATTCTACTATATATGGGGAAATATGTTCTCTATATGAAATATTGCTAACAAAACGAATGCAAGCATTTTGTATTCGCTGTAATCGTTGTCGGTTATATTGTGGTAAACAAAAATAGAATACTGAACAACAATAGTCAATATGTGGAAAAATTTGGGTTTTAATAAGTTGAAGTTTGGTGCTTTTGTCAAATATATACTTAAATTTATACAAGGTTTTTAATTTTACCATGCAGCATTTAAAAATATAATCTACATGAAAAGAAAAAGATAGACAATCATCCATTATCACCCCCAGGTTTTTTGTCTTTTCCACCCAAGGAATATTTTCACCTTCTATTAACAAACCAAAATTTGCTTTAATAGACATATTTTGATGCTCTCTTCCTATGCAAAGGGCCACCGTTTTGCTAGGGTTTAAACGTAGACCATGCATTTTTGAATATCTGGAAATATTTTCAATATCTTTATTGACTACATCAATAGCGTTGTGAATATTTGAGTTGTCAAAGGAATAATATAATTGTACGTCATCTGCATACAGATGAATTGAGCAATTGGAAATGCAGTCCGTCATATCAAAAACATAAATTAAAAACAGCAAGGGGCCCAAAATACTACCTTGTGGAACACCGGAAGTTGTATTTTTTAAAGACGAGGAAGTTATAGTATTGTTTTTAATTACTACTTTTTGACTCCGACCTACCAAATAACTCCGGAACCACTCCAACGCCGATAAGTCCAAGCCTAAATATTTTAATTTGGCCAATAATAATTTAAAATTAACCAGATCAAAAGCCTTGCTTTGATCTAACATAACTAAAAAGGATAATCGTGACTTATCGTAGTTTTGAATCAAGTCATTAGTGACTTTAAGTAGAGCCGTGTGTGTACCATGTCCTTGCCTAAATCCAGATTGTTGTTCAGGTAAAATAGAGTTGTGTTCTAAAAATTCTTTAATTTGAAGAGCAACAATTTTTTCCAAAATTTTTGAAAATGCTGGCAAGATACTAATAGGGCGAAGTTCATTAAATGTTTTTGGATTTGCAACTTTTGGTAGAGGCATAATATTTGAAATTTTCCAGATATCTGGAAATACGCCCTTGCTCAGGGATTCGTTAAGTATTTTGTTAACAAAATCTAAGCAATAAGGTAAGACTAATTTAATCATACTAATGCCTATGTTGTCCTCACCTATAGCTTGAGATTTAATGGATTTAACAGCTTTTAGGATGTCATTGTTGTTTATTTCTTTAAACCTGAATTTATTGTTGTTTAATAAATTATTTTCATAGAACCTTAATATATTTTTATCTATATCTGACTGTCCTGCAACATTTAAGAAATATTCATTAATGTCTTCGGGCTTACATAAATTATCCGGCAAATAGTTGTTACTGAATTTGGACTTGGTACACACACCCCATTTTGTAAGATTTTTCCAAAGCTGT